CCCCAAAACCCCAAAACCCCAAAACCCCAAAACCCCAAATTAATATATATGAATAGAATTATATTATTTATTGGAGATAATCAGGAAAGAATGGACTCGATTTCACAAATTATGGTATATATGATAGGAACATTCCTCACTTTTAGTGAGGTTAATAGACTTTCACTCACTTCTAAAAACATGTTCAAACGCACTGCTGAAGCTAAAAAATTATTAGCAAAGAGGGAGGTACTTAGAATATTTTCATCAGATTTGAAGGAGTTTAGGATTATTACCCCGTCCATCTCTTATGAACTGAATAATATGGACTATGCAACTCCAACTTTGAATGACGGTTATGACTGGCTAGCTATACTAAAGGAAGGTCTAAGCATTGGCTGCGGAATGCTCCGTCAAATTAAGCCACAGTTAAGAAATAGTCTACCATCCTTCCATAGTAATAACTTCTCTAAGCTGGATACAATAATGCAGGAACGTCTTTTCGAAGAACTAAATCCAGTATCTGTTCCTAATGGGGATATAATTTCGCCAGTTAGTGATCTTGAACTGGATGATTTTAACGAATTAGAAAATATGTACTTGCTGCATTTGTACTATTATAAACATGATGCTAATGTGGCCCAGAGCTCACCTAAAATGACTAAAATCGCAAAATTCTATGACTCATTATCCACTTATGTTCGGTTTTATTGCAAAATTCAAAGAATTTGAATTATGAGTACCTATGATGAGGACAAGCCACTTCAGTTTTTGTATGAGTACTCCATCAGATGGCAAGCCTACTCTCATTATCTTTGGAACTTATCAGGCCAGCTTGAAAAATTAGAAGAGAAAATTAATAAATGTTATTCCCAGAATTGGCCTGAAAGTACTCATCAGTTTAGATTATATAAATTGATGACCAAGATTTGGAATTCCGAAGTAAATTCGAAGGAGGTTATCTTTAACCTCAAAGATAGCTTCATTTCCACTTTAAACTCCTATCACAAGGATTGTCTTCAGCATCTGAGGGATAAATCTGTGAAGAAAGAGACAGTAGGAATGGAGGCTGTTCTCAAAATGTTCTTCCAAACTATTATTGATTCTTCTATAAACCAAAACACCGTTCATTTCATTGGAAGTAGCGATGTCACCTACGAGAAAATTTACAATACCTTCGAAACCTTGCTTCTAAAGCACTGCAGTGGATTTCTAAAAACCGCATTGGAGATGGGCTATCAGTCCAAAAACTTGAAGGCGGTCTGGCCCATTTTCGAAGAGTATTCAAAAATTGTCAGAGTTTTCGCACCAATTAAAACTCAAAAACAATTTGAGAAATCAAAAACTGAAATGGTAGTCAAATTCATCAGATTCATCCTCTCCAAGAGGCTGAAACAGTTCAAGTCCTTTGACTTCTCAAAGATCGAGGCAAAATGGAACGCAAGCTATGAGGGAGCCATGAGCCATGCCTTTAGTTCGACCAACTCTGTATTTTTGAAGACACTTGCTAAAGGAATCAAAGATATGAAATATGATGAAGAGAAATTCCAAAAGTATTGGCTAATCATGGCCGGGAAGGATTGTGATTTACTAAGGAAATTTTATGATAGCACCTTAATGTCTTATGACAAGCTCTCGAAGACTATGAAGTCCCAGGATTGCAAGATCAAGACAATCAAGGGAAAGATGGGCATCACCGACAAATTAGATGTCGATCAGATGAAGTTCCTATCACTCATGGGATCAATTCCAGATAAGCACGTAGAAGATATTATCTCTGACTACCTCGGGAAGTATGAACAAAGAGGGGTGAGAAGCCTCTCCACCACTGAGAATACTTTCAAAGAGTCTTCATTCATCACTGCTGTTCTCTGTGAAGGCGAGAATAGTAAAACTGATGATTCTGAGACCTGTGAGGATAGAGACACTCTTCCTGAGAGTGAATCTACCAACGACTTGGTTAATGAATTTTCTCAAATTTTCAAAAACAACAAGCAATGTTGGATTGAGAGAACTAAAAGTATGAAGAAAAAACAGGAGAAGATGATCTTCCACTCTTTGAGGCAGGAAAGGAGAGCTTCTATGTAATCTTTGCTTGCATAATCAGTTACGATAAGGCCTCTACTCTCTATCGCATTAGGTACTCAGGGTTGAGTATAATTTACCTTAATTAATAATAACTTGAGTTTATATAAATGGTAGCTAGTTGGGGTTTTGGGGTTTTGGGGTTTTGGGGTTTTGGGG